AAAGGCCTAGTTACCCTAAACCCTAAACCCTAAAACCTAAACCCTGAACCCTAAACCCCAAACCCTAAACCCAAAACCCCAAACCCCTAAACCCCTAAATCCTAGAACCCTAAACCCTAAACCCCAAATAACCGACCCGCCCCAGCAAGTCAGCAAGGACAGGCACGTGGGTAGTTTTTTCTAAATTAGGGTCCCTTTTTAGGTCCCCACTATAGTACGGCACCCTTACAAAAAGGAGCCTAAAAGGAACCCTAATTTAGAGAACTACCCTCTTATAGTACCCCTTATAGATCCCTTTAAGGAACCGCATAAACCCTACTAGGTCCCTTTAGGGGGCCCCTAAAAGGGACCCTCATTTAGAGAACTACCCATGTGGGGCCTATGAACTTTCTCAGCAAGGTCAGGGTCTCCGCTTCCGTCGCCATTTGGACCTGTGAAACTGGGGTTTAGGGTTTAGGGTTTAGGGTTTGGGGTTTGGGGTTTAGGGTTTAGGGTAGGGCTTTAAGACGGCAGCTAAGAGGCGCAACCCTAAACCCTAAACCCCTAAACCCCTAAATCCCTAAAAACCCTAAACACAACTTAAAGAAAGGCAGGGCAGGCATGGGATGGACGGATGGACCTCCGATCTTGGCTGCTCTAGTGCCACCAAGATCGAAAGGGTTTAGAGTTAGGTTTGAGGGTTTAGGGTCTAGGTTTTAAGGTTGTGGGGTTTAGGGTTTAGGGTCTAGGGTTTAGGGTTTAGGGCTTAAGAAAGGGCCCAATGGCTTTCGACGTACCCACATCCGAAAACGCCATGAACTGTAGGCCAGGGCCGTGAAGCATAGATCCTTATGCTGCTCTGAAGTGTTCCCTGAACATCAGTCGATGAACTTACCTTGCTCTGGATTCTTGCCGCAGCCCCAGTTTGGAAGGAAGATGTTCAGAGGCATCGGCTGTAAAGCACAGGTTTTTGGGGTCCGGAGAGTACCTTCTCAAATGACAGAGGGTAAGCAGGCAAAGGCGGGCAAAGGTGGAGTTCTGGTATCAGGAAAGGAACCTTGGAAAGGTGATCTGCCAGTTTCCTTACGTCTATACCGACTCCCCTATACCGTAAACTCCTAAACCCCAAACCCTGCTCCCAAAAACTACTCCCCTAAACCCCAAGCCCTTAAGCCTACTCCCTGAACCCATCCCAAAGCCCTAAACCAACTTCGCCCGTCTTTGCTGAAGCCCCCCCCAGAGGATGTGGGGCGGCTCTGCGGCCCTCAACCATAAGCGTTAAACGTTCAGGGCTGAAGCTGTAAGGATAGATTCATGGGGCTTGGGGCATTTTCGGGTGTAGGGTAAAGGGATGTAGGAATTTAAGATCTGAGAAAGGCCCCACCTTGGCGATGGTGCCAGGGTCCAAAAGGTAGCTAAACATAGACCTGGGCCGCACATTGCTTCTGGGTTTCGGGTCCAGGGATGCAGCTTTGGGCTGCAGGGCTTCTTTGCTGATGACTTTCGAGTTAGAGGCCCTTGGTCGGTCGGGACGGTCGATGGTTTTGGTGCGTGTAAAGACTGTGGCGCAACCCCAAACCCTAGAACCCTAAACCCCTAACTCCTAAACCTCTAACTCCTAAACCGTGACTTCGCAATATCTCCGCGGTGCCTGATTCCCTCCGCGAGATCCGTGGCCTCACGCCCCAAACCCTCGAGCCTAAAACATCCTAACCCCCACGAGCTCCTGTAGGCCTTAGAAGCTTTAAGACCCACGATTCCCAGAGCCGTGCTCGGTTTCGGGTTGTGGCTGCCCCTTAGACCAGAAACCCTCCGAGGAACCCGAATATACCTATAGTCTCCATGGTCGTGCCTAGTCTTGGTTACACCAACTTTGAAGTAAGGATCCTATTCTATTAAGGATCCTATATTTCTTCGCTTCACCAAGTTTGAATTAAGGATCCTATAAGGTAACCCCAAAAAGGAACTACGATGGAGTCTATAGGTAGAACTCCTATAATCCCCTTCAAAGCGGACACGAAAGGGTTCAGGGAACAGCCGCCGCGAAATAGGCGCTGAAACAGTATAGTAGTATGAACTACAACATACGAAAAATATTTATATATATCTATAAGAAACTACAAAAATGACATACTTTAACTCACAGAGACTAATTCAAAGAGACTGTAAAAATTGTCAAATGCCATGATACCCTACCAAAAAAAAACTACAGTAAGAACCTTGCTCTCAGCCCCTTTCCAAGGGCATCCCCAGCTCTTCATTCCGGGCTTCAGCTCTTCGGCTTAGAGACTCGGGGGTTCAGAGTATACCAACATTCTCCATTGTAGTTCCTTTTTGGGGGTTACCTTTTAGGATCCTGAACACAAAATTGGTTAAACTCAAAAAAAGGAACTGCAATGGAGACTGTAGGTGGAGTTGAGGGTTCAGGTCGTAGGGTTTAGGGGTGGTGGTTTTAGGATTCAGGGTTTAGGGTTTCGGGGTTGGGGTTTAGGATTCAGGGTTTCGGGTTTAGGGGGTTGGGGGTTTAGGATTCAGGGCACAGGCTATAGGGTTTAGGGTGAACGGAGTGAGGACTCCTCCCCAAGTCGGGTTTAGCCGCATGTTTAGCCAGTCCTTTCAACTTGGGCTGCCGCCATGCCTTCGCGAAAGGCGCCGGTACCCTTGCAAGCATTCGGATCAAGAGCAGGGGTGGAAACGACAGGCCAGAACCAAGAACCGGGTTGAGTGCACTTGTAGAAGCCTGAATACTCCATTTAGTTCTGGAGTTTTCCATACGATTACTAGATTTACCAGATGAGCGAACCCTCCCGGAAACACTAAACCCAGCTGTCTAAACCCTATAACGGGTTCCCCTAAATGCAGGAACAGCAGTATGTATGAATTTCCGGCCCGTATCTTCCAAGTTGTGCAGAGGCGTCCACAGACTTTCATGGCCGTGGAAGCTGGCGTCAAAACGTTGGATCGAGGCTCTGAAGCAGATAGAATGAGGTTTAGGGTTTCGGGTTTGGGGTTTAGGGTTTCGGCAAGGAATAGTAATGCCCAGAGGGGAATACCAAGATCCCTATTCCAAGAAGGCCTTTCCAAGGCAGCACATCTAGATTTGAGAGAGTCACGGTATTCGGCAGGCGGCTAAAGGTCAGCCTCCGAAACAATACGACTGCTCTAAGCCCTTACGGATCAAGTGGCCCAAAGTGCACTAAAATTCGCCCTCTTCGGCTTGGTCTACGATGGCCGAACAAACCGCACTAACTTCGCCCTGATCGGCTTGGTTTACGATGGCCGAAAAACTGTGTCTGAGCCCTGAGCTGTCCTAGTCCCTCAAATCAACCCTGCAGCCCTCTAACCTGAAGTCCGTACAGAGTTTAAGGTTCAGGAAGCACTAACAGTTTAGAAGCACCAGCAGTTTAGAAGCACAACGATCTGCCGCTGCTCTGGAAATTAACCGCTCCAGCCGGAAATCTCTACGACTTTCAGTAACTCAACTAACGAGGTAGGCTTCGCAGGACTTCAGTTTTTGTTTGTGCTCAGAAGGCTTTATATTTATAGGACGCAGAGAGCTTCTTTAAGGTCTTAGGGTTTGAAGTGCTTGGGCCCGACTCGCCACACACAGCGGCGCCTTATGAACAGTATTCTGTGGCATGTCTCGGGGAGCAAGTTGCTCCTGCCATGCAAAGGTGCAGGGCTGCTCCTCACTAAGTATCTTTCGGATTCCTGCGGTGCTCCCATTATAGCACAACCCTTAGACCCTATGAACTAGGGTCATACTCCTCTAGGGAGCAGGGAATAGTCAATTGTAGTCACTATTCCGATTCCTGTGTTACGTACCAAGCGTCCTACACCCAAGACCTGGCCGTAATATGATATAGGGGCCATAATGACTGGACAAGGGTTTGGGGGATGTGTTGGTATACATACTTGTACAGCTAGCAGCACCAATGACTCCCCGAGTGTTCGATTAGGAGCAGTGAAGGCCATGTTCTCGGCAGCATCGCCCAACACCCGAAGATCTCCGACCCTACAGCACCCACTGCCCAAACGGAACCGCCCTGCCGATTTTGGGGTTGTCACACTGCATGGAGCCAGGTTTGAGGCGTTGGAGTTTAGAGCCTCGTTTCAGTGCTAAGTTGTGGGTTGGGGACCAGGATGACCGACAGTGGCGATGATACATACGAGGATGACGGCGTGGCAATTTACCCCGGCCATTTTTTGATGCTGCCCCAATCAAAATTGATGATTACGACAACGACGCATGAGGCACAGCGCCGTCGACCCCTATCTGAAAAGCTCGAGCCTTATTCATTAGCCATGTTGAGCAAAGAGGATGCCCTCCAACGTAGGTTATGCCAATCGTCTTGACATTCTGCTTTTCGTGAAAACTGCAGCCTTGTGCTTATAGGATCTAGGATCTAGGCAGCTTTAGGAAGGAACGGCAACACCACACAGCGGACCAGAAGCCTAGTAGCGCAGCAGCGTAAGTTGTAGTGATAATACATTATTCGCTACTGTTGGTCACCGGGATGATGATGATGATGATGATGATGATCGCAAGAAGCAGTTCGGATGCAGGGAAGCACATCCCAAGATCTGTCCCATTCCAAGAAGCTGTCTCCCGGTCCTGCAGGCAACCATCTTCGAAAGGGTCCAAGCCTGTGCTGCAGAATCACGTCGCGAACTGCAACCACTGCCGCAAAAGCCCCTGCTGCATGTCGGACTAACCCTAACCCCCCAGGTACCTACTATATAGGGTACTAGAGCCCCTCGAGCCCTATGTAGAAGGTACCTGGAGGGTTAGGGTAACGTAGGCACAGAAGGCACCTCTAGGCACCAAAGCATGACTCGCAAGCTGGGGCAGTTTCCGACTGAACAACTGGCGATGTCCGGTAAACGTTGAAGTCGTTGAAACTCAGATGAAATCGCAGCAGCAGCTTTTAAACTTGTCTACAAGTTAGCTGCCTGCACACGCTTAGAGAATCATGCGACGCGTATCGCACATGTTCGATTCAAGAGGATCACAAGAAGGCTCAGCGCTGGGACGCCTTGACCACATCCTTGAAGTCCATCAATGCCTGGTAAGCTGCCTTGGCATCCTCCGCATTTACCATGGACATCATGTAAGGGCCCACATCCTTGCCAAGGTTGAACTTGGCAAAAGCATTGTACACGTCCATGGTCTGGGATGCTGGCACCGAAGGGATCATGTGACTGATGGCCGCATTCATGGCAGTGTATTCGGCAAGCAGCGCGACACTCTTGGAATCCATGTTGGCAGTGGCCTGGCTGTGAGCTAGAGCACGCGATTTCAGAGCTGCGGAGTCCATGGACGCACCCATCTTCAGCATCGTGTTGATCGCCTTGAGCACCTGGAGAGGAGGCTGGGTGGGGAGCTTGCCATAGACGCAGGAGGTCCAGTCGAGTTATTTCAAACGGGTAAGACTTCTCGGACAGCACCTTCGCTGCATCGTCGATCTCGTCCGCGGTGGTGGTGGTGGTGGTGGTGGTGGTGGTAGTAGTAGTAGTAGTAGTAGTAGCAGCAGTGGTGCAGAAGTGGCGGGATGCCATGTCCTAGCCACTGGTTGAAACAAAATTGTCACAAGCTCACGTGGCGAGGAACTCCCTGTATCGCTTTGCCGCCGCAGCAGACAAGCGAAATGTGCTCGAATTTCCCACCGACAAGCGCTCTTCACTCGGTACTCTCGGAAAGTTGACAAAACCAGCATGGAACTGTCAACCCACACAGCAGATGCCGATATCCGGGAAGAACAGCTTCGCTTGCCGCAACCATCATGGAGGTGTTGTCGTAGTGGCGCTTTGTCCGCGAAAGCAGACTAAACCCTAAACCCTAAACCCTGCAGCTGCGGGCGTCATGCTGCGAGCTCCGCAAGCAGGCACCGGCACCTTCAGGCAGGGAGGCTGCAGAAGCAAACTCCCACGGCCGGCATCGAAATCACGCGCACAGCCTTGGCCATGGATCTTGCTGTGGACCCTCAACCTGCGCTCTGAATGCCTCCGATCTCGAACCTATAGAAGCCAGCAGGTGGGGGTGGGGGGTTTTCGCAGGGACTTGCATATGTTGAGCCGGTCTTTGAGGGTTTACGGTTCAGGCTTCGATAGGGATTCAGAGGGCCTTGAGCACAGGTCTGGCTCTTCGGGTGTTTGTTTAGGACGTATGGAATCAGGGCCGAGAGCCGTGAAACCGTAAACCCCTAAAATTCGCATGATGGTCATCATCACCGTCATTCTCTGCTACGCCACCACCACCGCCACTCATCCATCATCCTAAACCCTCATCCCCAACCCGAACAGGTGGGAACGGAAAAGACTCCAAGTCCTAAACACCAGGACCCTCCAAGTACCCTCAAAGAGGGGTGTATGGTCCCAAATCAAGGGTATTTAGGGTCTCATATAGAGGGTAGATGGAGGGTCTAGGCAGAAACGGAGCTCTCTCGGCGCGTGGCGGCGCCAAACTGCGCGTCGGACCACTTGAAGCCCTTTAGGTCGATAATCTGGGCCGGAAGAGAGGTTGCAGGGTATGAGTCTGGCATGCAAGGCTCGAATTAAAGGGGCTTCGGGTTTAGGGCTTTTGGGTTTTAGGGTTTTAGAGTTTTGGGGTTTGGGGATTTAAGAGTTTAGGGTTGCGGGGTTGTAGGATACGGGCTGTTGTCTTCGGATTCATAAGTGTCAATGCAGCTACAACCTTGATGGTATCTCTCAGAAAAAGGACAGCAGTGGTACTGGCAGTCGGAAGTGGCTTGATGGCTCGCTGATAAGAGCAAATCGGCACCAGCACAACCAGTACCATCATGCAGCCAAGGCAAGCACATCCAAGAACTGAGGTGGAAGCTAAAGTGACACCGCTAAAGGGAACGCCGCGCCGCATGGAGTCCTGGGTAGCTTTGCAGTGTCTACTACATATACCACGTGATATACAATCTTATATTGCAATGATACAACTATGTCAAGCTCTAGCAGACTCTAGCACCCAACATCTGCGGCACTTCTTGAGATTCTATAAAGAGGGAGGGCTGGGGCCTTGGGGGGCCATCCGGGCACGTGACGGTTCTTCAAGCGCGTTTCGAAGACTTGGATTCGGTTGCACGGGGCAAAGCTCAAGATTGCGAGAAGTCTGTTGACATGTTCGTTAAACCTGCCCTAGCCATAGCCTATTGGCATCATTATGCCCTGCCCTCGTCGAGAACCCAGACCACTGAATCGTACCTTGATGAAAGCTACCGGAATCTGGCCCCTCTGCATCTCTTCCCACGGAAGCATCTGGTGTTGAACCGCGCTCAAACCCATGTCAGTCCTCCTCCAATGCGGCGAGCGATCTTCGACAGTGCACAATGTCGAGCTTCTTTAAGACCTCCCAGCATTCAGACCTATTCATGCCCGAAGTGCTGTCATGCAACATCATCGGACTGGCCAGCCACCATCCAAGCACCACGTCACAGATGGACAGACAGTAGGCGAAACGCCGCGAGAATGCGAGCAAACACGAATTATGCCAGAATCGATCCGAGATGGTACAAGCGACGGACGAAAATTAGGAATGTGTTGTGAAGCGGTCACAAAGCTGCTGTTTGCCTCGCCACAGGTGATCCGAACAGCGAATTTTGAGGATTTGGTTGACTATTACTGTAGTTTTACATAAAGTACTCACACCGACCCTAAACCCCAAACCCTAAACTAATACTCTCTAAACGACAGTGTCTATTCACAGCCAAATACAACAGCCCAACCCTCTGTTTCGGGTTTAGGGCTAAGGGTGCCACTAAACGGCAACAATCAAACCGAACAAGGCCAGAAGTATCTCAGGGCTTTGGATTTTACGTGGTTTAGGGTTGAGGGCTTTATGCTTTTACCCAGGGAGCAACTCCCCTAAAACTCCTAAAACAAATTAAACCCCTAGACCCCCAAAAGAGAAGATCGAAGATCCCACAGCAGCGAAGACGACTCTGGCCAATTCTGGCCTATGCGGTTTAGGGTTTAGGGTTTAGGGTTTAGGGGTCCCGCAGACAAACCGCAAGCCGCTTGAACTGAGCCACGCGAAAGTCCCGATCATGCACCCTAAACCCTGAACCCCAAACCCTAAGTCCGAAACCCTAAACCCGAAATCCTAAACCCGAAATCCTAAACCCTAAACCCGAAATCCTAAACCCTAAAGCCTGAACCCTAAACCCTATAAGCCCTAAACCCCTAAATCCGAAACCCTGAACGCTGAACCCTAAACCCGAAATCCTAAACCCTATAGGCCCTAAACCCCTAAGGCCTCGAAGTCGAGTCGATTGCACAGCTTGGGCCAGGAGCAGCGGCCTAGGAGCCAAGGGGGATGTAGGTCGGGTTTAGGGTTAAGGTAGGGTGTAAGGTTTAGGCGGGTTTAGGGTTCATTTAGGGTTTGATGGTTTAGGGTTTAGGGCTCAGGTTGTAGGGGTTTGGGGTTCAGGTTGTAGTAGGGTTTAGGGCTTAGGGTTCTCGGGGGTTTAGGGTTTAGGGTTCTTGAGGTTTTAGGGTTTAGGGTTCTGGGTTTATGTAGGGTGTAGGGGTTTCGGGCTTAGGGTTCTGGGGGTGTAGGGTTTAGGGTTCAGGGTTCTGGGGAGTTTAGGGTTTAGGGTGTAGGGGTTTAGGGCTTAGGGCGCTGGGGGGTTTAGGGTGTAGGTGTTTAGGGGTTTAGGGTTTATAGGGCTTAGGGTTCTGGGGGGGTTAGGGTTTAGGGTTCGGGGTTTAGGGCTTAGGGTTCTGGTGGGTTTAGGTTTTAGGGCTCAGGGTTCTGGGGGGTTAGGGGTTCAGGGTGTAGGGGTTCTGGTAAATTTAGGTTTGGGGTTTGAGATTTAGGGTTTGGGGTGTAGGGTTCTTGAGGGTTTAGGGTTTAGAGTCTTTAGAGTTCTTGAGGGTTTAGGGTTTAGGGTTCTATAAGCTTTAGTTTAGGATGGTCTCTAGGGTTTAGGAATGTTGAGCTTTCCGGATTTTGGGTGGAGTATCTGTATTCTCTGAACGTCACCAAGCCAAGAGACAACACTGCTAGAGAGACAGAAATAATTCACAAGCCCTTGTAGAAACAAAGAAGAACTGTTTCCAGCTACTCAGAGAAGGCAACACCTAAACCCTAAATGTCCAAAAGACCCTACGAACCCTGAGAACAGATGGAACGATGTTACACAGCAGTAAACTACTTTTGTCTTATCCGTGGGCTGTCTGGTTTCCGGACGCAACGGGCCAAAACAGTCAAACATGTTCAGGGCTTGGGAATCTGGAGCTTGGTGCTCCAGCGATGTGGGCTGTGGGGCGCTGAGTGGCGCACCCAGCCGTTCCAGGGCCACTGGCTCACCCTGCCTCAGGTATGGTCTATCTACGAGTCTGTTCGAGGGTTGCAAGACAGTGACAGAACAGACTGACAGAAGTGGAAGAAAGTTGGTAGAGAGTTTAGCGATAATACTGTCTCGAGGAGACAAAGATGGAGCACCGGTCTGCGAGATGTTCGAACTGTTGCGGCATAAACGGGCCAAAACCGCTTCGGAGGTATTCCACTTTCTGAGTGGCTCTTGCGGTTGCGATTTCTGCAGAGACTAGATTGATGTCAGGGTCATTGTCACAACCATTGCCAAAGAGGGTGACTCTTCTGAGTAGTCTGTGGCTAGCAACCCCTGATCCTAGTGGTCATTGCCTCCGAAGAAGCAGAAGAAGCTTTGGTAGCAGTAGCAGTAGTGGCAGTCGTCGTCAGTGGAAGCACCAGCAGCCACTGCACCCGCACCATCTGCACCCTCCCAACACAATGACCTACGGGATGCTGCCAGCTAGCCCCTAAACCCTTAAACCCTAAACCCGAAGTCATGGCTGCTGTTTTTGGCGCTGCTGGCAAAAGATATTATCCCCCCTGCGCACCCCTCCGAGTCGGCGGACAGACCGTGGCCCAGGAAACCTCCACTCAGCCACCAAGGAGCCAAACACCTCGGGGCGTTGGGGGCGTCGGGGGCTTTGAGGGCTTTGGGGCTGAGGGTTTCAGGGATACCTGGAAGCTCCTCAGTCCTTCGACATCGGCAGCCCGGATCATCGCCCTAAAGACTTACGCACTGACAACAAGCGAGGTGCACAGGAAGAGGCCGCCCGCGGCAAGCCTTCCGCAGCCAACACCTGCAAAGCCTGATAAAAAGCCTGGAACCCTGAACCCAAAAATCGCGAAGTTGAAAACTCCGACCTAAACCCTAAACCCTAAACCCTAGACCGATCTGTCTGGGAGAGCGGCTGTTCGTAGGCCTTCGCAGCACAACTTCCAAAGCTTTCAGCTGCTCTTGACTGGGGGCCTTTTGGAGGTTAGGCCTCGCGGCTCCAGGTTGCTGCCGAAGGT